AAGAGAAAAAATGAAAAAAAAAAAAAAAAAAAAAAAAAAAGGGAAGAAAGTGGAAACCTAGTACAACTACCAATTGTCTTTCAGATGATTAGGATAAGAATGGATTTGGTGCTTGAACGCTTGATTGAGTTTTGCTGGGATTCAAATGATTTGTTCTTGCTATCATTTGGGAAATGGTTTATTGAGGAAGAAGATGGCTTTAGGGTAAATTTGTAATTTTATTTTTAAAATTATTTGATTTATGTAGTGTGCATTCGCCGAGTGTCCAACCGAGTGCATGAATCATTGTCCTATAGAAATTCTTAATTTGATTTTAGTTAAGTTTAGTATGCATTCCTAGAGCACTATCATGGTTGTCTCTTGTGTGCATATGTTTGATTAACTTAAAAGTTAAAAGTTATGATAAAAGTAGGTGACCATATGTTTGATTGAATCATAGTTAATAATTTCAAGTTATATTAATTATCTTTTTGTATAGTTCTATACCTATTCTATGATTATTCGTTAACTTTGCCATCAAATATTTAACCTTGGGTTTAAGTTCTATATTTATTTTTAAGTTAATCCCATATAAGGCAAATCTAGATTTGCATACTTAATTTATTTTATTTTGCTTTATTTTAATTGACAATTTAATTTATTTGCACAAATTGCCCTATTTCTAAAAAAGCTTTAATCTTAATGTATTATTTGAATCAATTTATGATCTTTTTGGTTTCTGTTTACTATTATGCTTGTTATTACTCTTTTATTTTTTAATTTTTTAATTTTAAAATTTGGGCATTTTACATATTAAATAATAGGACTTGAGTAATTTCATTAGAAGTACTAAAATTAATTTCATCTTTTTCTCCTTTATCATTAGTTTTTTTATACATGTTATGTTTTATCATTGTTGTATTTTGTTTTTCATTGTTTTTAGAATACTTTTTATTTGTAATCTATGGATTATTTTAATAATAAAACATTAATCATAGATGTTGAACTACCCATTTTAATTATTTGAAAGAAATTATTTTTTTAACTTATAGTTTTGCACACTCTAACCTTAAATTCTGGCTGCGCCGCTGGGTGGACTCACTTCTGAGTTGAAGCGGGATACGCCCTTCCGTGCCTTTTCCTTGATCAATGGACTCAGTGGCAGAGCTAGCGGAGGGCATGGAACCCAGTAAATGCACTTCCTCTTGCTCGGTGCCAGAGCTAGGGGAGGGCATGAGCCCCGATAAAAGCACTTTCTCTTGATCGGTGAACTCAGTGGCGGAGCTAGGGGAGGCCATGGGCCCCGGTAAATGCATTTCCTCTTTATCAGTGGACTCAGTGGCAGAGCTAAGGGAGATGCTGGGCATAAAATATTAGAAAAAAAAGTTAAGTTTACTTATAAAATAAAAAATATATAGTACATATGTTAATTATGAGGTTAAAAAAAAAAAAGCAAATCTAAACTTAATTGTCAATTATATTGTAGTTTAATTACCTACTAAATGCATTATTTCATTTTTTCAATTCAACGTATAACTCTACCGTTAAAACACCTTTTATAGTAATAGACTTTTAATTGCTTTGATTGTGACGTTCTTCAGCAATTACTTATTATTGTAATGGTTAATCGTTTTGGATTTGGACTTTTAATTACTTATCATTTAATTTTTAATTTTCTTAAATGTAATTGTTAATTAATTATACTGTCTGATTTCTAATGTTTAATTGAATCATGGTTAATTTCAAGTTATATTAATCATCTTTCTGTCTAGTTCTGTACCTATTATATGATTATTTGTTAACTTTGCCATCAAATATTTAACCTTGCGGTTTAAGTTTTATATTTATTTTTATGTTAATCCCATATAAGGCAAATCTAGATTTGTATACTTAATTTAATTTAATTTATTTTATTTTATAATTTAATTTATTTCCACAAATTACCCTTATTTCTAAAAAGGCTTTAACGAATTAATATGTGATTTTTTTTTCTATTTACTATTTTATTTGTTATTATTCTTTTTTTATTTTAATATTTTAGAATTTAGGTATTTTACATATTAAATTATAGGACTTAAGTAATTTCAGTAGAAGAACTAAAGTTAATTCCATCTTTTTCTCCTTTATCATTACTTTTTTATCTATGTTATATTTTGTTTTCCACTGTTTTTAGAATACTTTTTATTTGTAATTTATAGATTATTTTATTAATAATTAAAAATTAATCATAGATCGAACTACCCTTTTTAATTATTTAAAGGATATTATAACTTTTAATTTATAGTTTTGCAAGCTCTAACCTTGGATCCGGGATAACCCACGGGGGGGACTCACTTCCGAGTTGACGCCCTTCCGTCCATTTTTCTTCAGAGACAATGCCTTGAAGAGAAGGTTGAACTTTCAACTGATGGCAAAGTTCCATTTTCAGCTCTTTAAGAGAATGGAGGCCTGCCAACCACTTCGGCGGACCTTCTAGGCTACCAAACCTTGATATGTTCAATTTCCTGAGGGCAGTGAGATGTTGCAACTCATCTGGCAAAGACTTTAGATTATCCCATCCTTCCAAACTCAAAGATTCAAGGGAGGCACAGAGGTAATGGATGGAAGAGAGCCCAGGGAATTCCTCCAAATTCGACCAAAAGGGACCCATTCGCAACTCCTTCAAGTTGGTGAGGCCACCAAGCCACTCATGTGAAATGCTTCTTACCATATTCATTCCACAAATGTAGAGAACCTGGAGACTAGGCAACAGCCCAAGACTAGGAATACACATGCATTCACTGCAAGAAGATAATTCCAGCCTCACCAGGTTGTCCAGCAGAGATGAAGCACTAGAGTCCTCGACCCCATTCATCCAAGACGGGAAGTTTTTTCCCATATAATTACTAATTCTTAAACTTTTCAAATTTGAGTGAGGTTGGAGACCCTCTAGAACCTCCTCATCATTGACGTTTGTAGCTCTTCTCCCATTCTGCCAAACAAATTTCAAATCATATAATTCTGTCTTTTCATTTAGTCTTGCTCTAATGGCTTCTGATTTGGATGTCACATGTTCAAGATTATGAATCTCCAGTTTCCCTCTAAGTTGGCTTAAGTCCCCAAGTTCTTCAATTGTAAAACCCTCATCTGTTCCCACAAAAAATGATGGCAAGGTTTGAAGGGAAGTTAAGCGTCCAATCTGCTTGGGTAAAAGCTTCTTGTCATCGACATAAAGATGCCTCAAGCTAATCAGTTGGCTTGTATCATCAGGAAGCTTTTGAAGATGACTGCACTGCATAACTTTTAAAGTCTGCAACAAGTAGAGCTCGGAGAAAGATCCTGGTAATGTTTCAATTTTACTTTCTGCTATTTCAAGGTATTTTAATTGTTTCAATTTCCTGAGAGAAGCAAGCAATACCTCTGTTTTAGCTCTGACTAATTTTAAAGATCGCAAGCCCTTCAGATCTGACTCCATGTTAATGGTAAATTCACCCTCCAAAAACAAAGAATGCAACCTCTGAGAAATACCTGTAGGAATGGGTGGATGCGCTAACCCGTCATACTTGATTCTCAAATTGCGAATAGTAGAAGTCTCATCAATATTGGAACCATTCTCCCAAATCAAAGTTTCACCTTTTGAAACAGCCAGAGCAAGATTATGAACCATATCACGCATTTTGCAAGATTCCACATTGCCACAAGCATCCCTTCTCACATCTTGGAATAAGGAATTGGATACCAACTCATTAAAGTACACATTTCCAATATCCTCTGTTGTCATAGGGCTTTCATAAGATATTTGTTGAAGAAATCCTCCGGCCATCCATAGCTGAATTAAATTATCTTTTCTAATATCAAAACCTTTCGGAAAGATTGAACAATAAGAAAAGCATTTTTTCAAAGTTGAAGGCATACAATTGAAGAAGCTCATTTTTAATACAGATAAAACTGTATTG